GGGTTAAACGCCTTAACCATTGAGCCACGAGCTCGTCTAGCAATACTATAAGCCTATACTAACAGTTCGTCCATTGTAAGTGTGAGTGGTAAATGGGCAATTAATTATAGACAGGACATTGGATGTCCACGAAATCACTTTTCTGGACAGTAGTTTCCTTTAGCATGCAGTTTTTTGTTCTTCGGGTTTGTAAATTATACTAATTTCAAAGGAAATCCAATATAACTATATCCTGTCCTAAAAGGAATGGTGTGATAGACTTTGCTGTACATTAACCGCATATGCAACATATATCTATCTGGGTAACTTAACCTGCTTGTAAGCTGTGTCTTTTTGATAATGACTTTACGAAACAAAATACTTCTAAGTTACGTTCAACTTCAAATAGACTAACTCCATATGAAATTCTCTGGATTATTTTAGTTGGACAGAAAAGCTCAGCATTTCTCGAACTTCAATGCGCACAAATTTACTTTAATGAATGTTTAAGGACTCCGGTTTAGGTCAAATGATATCCATTCGCTTTTACTTACCTCATATAGTTAGTCCTCAGAATGATGTTCTGATTGGCATGGTTAGCAAGACATATGACAATCTGAACGTACATTGTTCCACACCTAGAGCGGCGATCCCCACATATTCATCATATTACCGATCTCAACCGACAAAGCAACGAGCCCGTGGTGCAGTGGTAGAGGGGTAAACTCAATGACCAGAGGTCCCGGGTTCGAATCTTGGGGGTTCGGGCCCTTGAGATTGGGTACGATTGACTGATGATGGCTTACAAACCAAAAAGGCCATTCCGGTCTCTCTTGGCTTTGTAGGAATCATTTCATCAGACATACATAACAGTTTGACGACCGCAAACGTCGACATCCACCAAGCGTTTCACGGAGTGGGCGCATAACTGGTGACTCATACACGAATGCGGTAAACCTGAGCAGTATCTACAATATATTCTCATCCCGCAACCACCTCACATCCATGTTAAAACTATATCATAAGGAAAGGTGACGGGTTCGGGTGTATTTACAGAGAAAGTTAAATAGCCCGTGCTACAGGCGACCTGGTTCCAATTACATGCACCAAGGCGATATGGATGCCGTATCGGTGGGAATGCCTCAAAGACCTTATTAAAAAGGAGTAATTACAGTCTGAAGCCCAAGGACGAGTTATCCCATCAGTTGGCAGTCTTCCAAGTCACAACTCTTAGCGTGTTAGAGTTATTATTAGTAAGGAGTGCGTTGATTTTCCATGAGGATGGATACACCAGTGTCGGGTTCACACTTTCTTCCCTCTCACGGGTATCAGACAACTGCCCTGGTCTGTCAGTCAGATGGTGATTATAGAGGATGACTTTGAATTCCTACATCTAGTTTTTTTCTGCAGCTTCTAGTGATCAATCGAGTTGACGACAGTTGCGATAAAAAATAAAGACAAAACTGTCAGATGGGGGGGCATATTTGAACGTTATCCGTGTACTTATTCGGGTTAAAAACAGCCAAATGGTCGGTATTAAAATGATCTCGAAAGTATTCAGTGGTCATATTTGAAGCCGTAGCTACGTAAACTACACTCACCTCAAGGGATTCGTGCGCCTCAGTGAAGCATTGTTGACAGACCTGGTAACATATGAGGGTTGTAGCAATAGGGTCATATCTAACATCGTGCCAGGGTGCAAAAATCGTTTTCCTGATCGAAAACGACCATGGCAGTTCAGACTCCTCCAGACCCTTGCTTCTTGCATGTTGTTCACAAAAGGATATTGTGTCGAATAGGTGTTTCGGACCCGAAGAAAGTGAGTAGGACTGTAAGAGACAATCGAAAATGCCGACTGCTATGAATTGGAATAAAAAAAGATGACTAATGCATTACGAAGTTCCAAGGCCAGATAGAGCCCAGCATCGCCGGTTAAGCCACGTTATGATTATCTGAGAACTACACTGGAAGAGACTTAGCAAGGACCACATGTAGATTTATGCCGATGCAAAGTTAGCAAAGGACAGCATGTGTCGATGTGCAGAAGTTTAAGCCGCTTTCGAATTCGAGTACTGAGTTGGCAAAATATAATTGTATTATTTTCAACTAGTGACTGACAAATGAGTTTTAAACTTCCACCCTTTAGTCTGATATGCAGTCGTTTTAGAACATTAAGGTTGAAAAACAAGATCGCTAAAGCAGGAGAATAGGGACTTTCCTGTAGTGCA